CAAGGTTTTGGTAGACATCATGCAATTCCTTCTTAAGCTTCACCACCTCCGCCATTCCTCTTTTTCTCTCCTCTGATTGTTCAGTTTTATTCTTCAGAAGTTCTTTGTTGGTTTCTTGAAGAACAGTTATACCTTCTTCAGCTTTTTGAATATTTTTTTCAAGCTCGTCAATGTGCTTGATTTTTTCGCGAATATCTCTTTTATGGTTTTTCTGAATTTCTGCTATTTCATCCTCCTTATTTTGAAATGATTCTTTCAATTCTTTAATTTATTGGTTTGCCTCATGACGAATTTGTTCATTTTCTTCTAGAAATTTTTGAGCATCTAATCGTATTTTAGTACGTAGCGCAAATATGATGTCCTCCATTTTTCGGTTTTCAGTTGTTTTCCCCACGTCATCTTCTGAATCACTAGAAAGAGGCGTGGCCGACCACGAAGATAAAGAGTAACCCCCAGGATAACCCTTTCCTTTGAGCTCCATATCTAAACCCTGCAACTTTTACAAAAAAAATATACAATTATTTTTTGTGTTAACTATAGACATTTGCACATAACTTAAATGAGAAACGCGCAATACTCCAATACACTTTATTAAGGGGGTTCAATTTGATCCTATACAGTTGAAGGCATATTCATTTCCTTCTAATTTTATTAGCATATATTTTGACAAATTAAACAAAAAGTGTTGACAGTGAATACTATGTTGAAGCAAAAAAATATACCAACAAGAAAATAAAAAACAACACAAATTATTTTTTTTTAATTTTACCCTTCTCCCTTCTCTCAAAAATTGCATATCTATGAAAGTCATTCTCAATCAATCTACGGTAATAGTAATTAGAAATTAGCAAAACTCAAACTATTTTATTGTGAAAAAAGAGCGGATTATGACAGTTTTTTTTTTAAAAATAATTTTGTTATTTAAGTTTGTTAATATGAATTAAATTTGACGTTTGTTAAGGTATTTTAAAAATTAAAAAGAAGAATTTTAGAAAACTTAACATACTTCTTTTTTCCCTTTAACAGCTGTCTGAGACCGTGATGCCGACATCGTGTTTGTAGGACTGACATTAGACCACTGCGATGCAAATCAACATTGTTAATTTTTAAAATCAAACTGAAATTTGAAGAACATGCGCGGATCTAGAGGGGGGGTCGGGGGGGTCAGGACCCCCCCTCCCCACGAATTTGCAAGGTCATTAAATTTTTATACAGAAGCGAGAAAAAAGTTAACTTGGACCCACCTCGGAAAACGCAGACCCCAACTGGTGAACGCGAATTTGTATGAAAGTGGTATGAAAAGTCAAAGGTTTGAAGGTTTGATGTATTAAAAGTCATTCACTACCCTCCACCCCCCCCCCCCCCCCCACGAAATAGGTTTTTGAAGTTTGGGCGAGTTTGGGGGGGGGTTGAAAATTTTTTTGGGACTGGGGTTAATTTGGAAAAAAATTCTGGATCCGCGCCTGAAGAATCACGTGCTTCTAGCATAGCAACAACGAAACAAAGTTTATTGAAACAGGAAGTAAATTGAAGCTCGGCTCTGTGTGTCTCTGGGAATAATAAATGTTAAAGAAAGTCTTATTTATAAAGAAGAAAAGCAAAATCAAAATATCAAGTCTCAGATATTATAACTCTACTATGTCACCAAAATAAAAAAAGCGCGAGTGGATATAAAAAAAATACCAATGATAAAAAGGAAAAATTCTACGACAAAGTTATGCCTCAGAATTGAGGCAATTGCAATTTATATAAGAATATTGGAAGGAAGAAATATTAACAATCAGTTGTAGAAGACTTAAAAACTTATGGAAGTTTCTTTCTTAAAACAGTATTAACCACAAATAGTTACAATTTTCCTTTTCAGTCTTACTTTAACCTAAATTGATTTTGTTTTCCTTTTGGTCCGGGATTGCTGATCAGTTGCTTTGTCCCTCGTCATGTTGTAACTTTCTGGTTTTCCAGTCTTTTCATTATCTTTTGAGGTGAGGGGGTTTCTTGATGGCTTATTTTTCATCTGCCTTCATTATCGTCCTTCCATCTTTATCAACATTTTCACATATGATGAAGCATTGAAAAATTTACAGACCTCATTCTCACTATAAATTGCTTTACCAAACTCATTTCCCATTGAATCCACATTTTGTCGCATGTTCACGCGAAACATGCAGATAACAAACAGTTATAAAGCTCAGAAAGTCATTAACACGGACCTCTAAAACATGAGAGGTGGGATCAAGTATCATGGAGGAGTAAGCATCACCTGGTCACCCTTCGTATGTTCCTTAACATTATAAGACAGAATGAAGAATTCCGGGATAGTCCAGCTTGAACTAATGATAGAACCATATATCTTGCGAAATGATAAATTGATGAGATTGTTAATGCCCTATTTTAGTAACTTTTTTTCAGTAGAGACATTGTTCGAATAAACCGGGAGACATAACCCCCATATGTAATGAAAAAGGTATTTTGCTTTAAAAGTAGACGATGTTGAAATAAAAAGATGAAGTCATCACGTTTATCATAACGCTTTGGTAATAGATTTTCATAACGTCTTTCTCTATCAAAATATCTGAAAATGTTTCAGGCTCGGTGCTATCTTTTTTTGAAAGGAATATATCGACTTGATATATATATTCGGAAGTACGATTTTATAATTCATAATGCTTCGCTGATATACCTAAATATCAGAATGATTTATATATTTTTATCCCAATTTTATCTGTTTACTATGAATACAGAATTAGCTATGCAAATAATGGGGTGCAGTTGGTACCTGTGGGTATTCCGACAGTCTGTCCGAGGATCTGAATTCCAAGAACTATATAGAATTTGTCAATGACTCCAAGCATCTTCTTATATCTACATCGTTGTTATTTTGAAAATGACAAATGACTAGGTAAGTTATTATACGAGGGTCATTCAAAAAGTTTTATCCTACCGAGTCCTCCATAAAAAATTCAATGTATATCACTTGAACAGCTGTTCAACTTCAAAAACACTTATGGTTCAATGCAGAAAAAGAATTGCTCGAGTTTTTGAAGATTTATCAAGTTTTGAAAATACACTACACGTGAGACTCTATTGTTTTATCGTGGAAAAAGAAAGTAAGTACAACAGCAGACATAAGTACATAAAAACTGTCTTAAATTTAAAAACTTATGAAAGAAGTTCATAATATTTATGGAGACAAACATCCGTCATATAGACAAATAGAACCGTTTCCAGGCGGTTGAAGAAATTTAAGGATGGAAGAGAAAGTGTTAAGATGATGTACGATCTGGAAGACCATAAACGGTAAAAATACTAAAACTTTGTTCAGAATCAAAGCTTTTAGTAGAAAGAGTTGTAAGATATACTATTAAGGACTTAGTCGAATGGTAGGGATATCAATGAACCATATGGAGATAACGAGCAGTATTCAAGATCAAGAGTTCATAAACGAATACAAAATAGGAGCAACGCAAACACTGACCTCCAAAACTTCAGAGGTTGGATCATTTGCCAAGGAGGAGTGAGCATTCCCTGCCGACCGGTCACATTTGCCGTGTGCCCCTTGTGACTTGTCATTATCGGGAATATTAAAGAGAAATCCGTTGTCAAGTCAGTGTAAAATAATGGACTGACAATTAGTATGAAAATCGTCAGTCAGCATTTGAATCAATGATAAATTGTACATGTAACACATATTCATTATATATTCAATAGATTACGCTCCTACCAGAACCCTCTGTCTCTGAGGCCAAACAACTGATTGCCTGGTCATGATGAACAAAAATTCCTCTTCAATTTTTCTTTTAAATTTCATGGCCTCTGAGTTAGGTTTTTGCAGAAATTTGTAGCTCATATTGTGAATTTATTTTCATTTACTCGGGTAAAATTATCACAATCGCATCTTGTCATTATAATACAAATATAAAAATAACAAATAATATATATACAGCATTCTGTTTCGACGGTTTTACGGAGTCTTTGCCGCATGGAGGTGCTGTCGTCGATCGCCATCTAGGTAGTGGTTAGCTGCAGATCTGTAGCTCTCCGAAAAAATATATATTGATAGACCGGAGAGCTACAGAGCCACCCATTGAAAAAACTGTATATTTATTGCGCACAAAAAAATGCGCTCGGTTCTCGATTTATTTCTCCATGTTTTTAAAACTGTAATCTCAAAATATTACTAACCGTGTGTTCCTAACATATTCTTTGACTCTTTCCACAACAAAACATTCCTCATAATTGTTGGTAATAGTCCTCCTGGCCCTGACATCGCAATCATCGAACATGTTGCTTATTTATACTTCCATTTTGGTTTCAAAGATAATTCGGTCCAATATGCTTCGTTCAAATGTCAACTACGAGAGAACTTGATAGAGGAGAGAAAAATTTCTTCAATTCTTCCATTTTTTGCAATTGAGGTAAGAATTTGGAAAATTTGTAGCTCATATTGCGCACTTTTTTGAGCGCAATAAATATACAGTTTTTTCAATGGGTGGCACTGTAGCTCTCCGGTCTATCAATATTTTTTTTTCGGAGAGCTACAGATCTGCAGCTAGGTAGTGGTAGTTTCGTTCAGCGTCACAAGAGTGATACTATGTTGTATGGAATAGAATGATGGCAGACAATAAGGATGTCCTTGTGTTCGTTTGTTCGGCGTGCTAACATACGACTGCCAGAGAAAAAAGAGCCTACTAACTACAGTCCATATTTTTTAGAGCACTAGAGTGCATTGCCAAAGAAAAAAAAATTATAATGCTCTTTTCATTGATGCAAGGGATTTTGAAAGGGGACAATTTAATATTCTTTTAAACATTCGATAAAGGTAAATATATGTTCTGCAAACTGATACATGTAAATAACAATATTGGATATTACACAAGCATCGTAAACAAATTAGAAGACTACAAGTATAATGTTTGAAGTCTCACAACCAAAAGGGTTTTGATCCTTAATTAATTTTAGCATCAGTACATAAATCCTATTAAAATTGAAAAAAAATCTATCAGAGTCTTTGAGTTCCAGTCGTAAAAGGTCTGCTTCCTATATATGTTAATACTCCCAAATTTCTTGAGAAATCACTTGCGTTGACGACCCGCGAAAATAATGCCGTGTTCTCTCTCGATTTCTTTTTCCTATAAAAGATAGCATAGTTATATACACATTAATAAGTTTTTTTCTTTTAAAAATCTGTTATAAAATCCACGTCAAAGATCGAACTGTTTTCATGCATAAATTTCTTTTAAAAAAATTGACGAGTAAGGATCCAAGGTAAGTACTAAGTATATTATGAAACAAACACAAACAAGAGGTCCATGGGCCTTATAGGTCACCTGAGCATTATGCATCAACTTTCCAGTTATTGAATTTGATTCATGCTTTAAGCCAGATGCTATGGCATTCACAGTTTTGAAAGAGACACCATTGTTCATCGTAACAATACACTTAGCAGTTGCTTAGCTTGGTTACTTAATACCTGCAGGGCAGGGGAACAAAAAATGAATTTCAACTGATCAGTAATATTCAGCAATAATCAGTAGTGCCCTTACCACACATGAACCCCTGACCCTTAGGCCTAGATCCACACACTGCACAATTTTTGAAAAGGCATCCTTGCTTTTCAAAAATATTTGATTAATACCAAGGAGCAGATTTCAAACAATTCATTCATTTTCAGTATATAAGTACAGACCCCCCCCCCATGGTACCCCTGACCCTGAAGCCTTGAAATTCACAATTCTGCAAGATTAGGGCCCTTGCTCATCATAACAATATAGGTAGTTCATCTGCCTCATACCCAGAGACAGAGAAGAAAGTTTTCAAAGATTTAATGTATTTTCACTATATAATCAATAGAGCCCCGCCCTAACACCTGAACCCCTGACCCTGAGGCCATAAAATTCACAATTTATGGAAGATGCATTCTTGCTCATCATAACTATGTACTTAGGTAGTTTATTTAATACCTAGGAGCAGAGAAGAAGATTTTCAAAGAATTCATGTATTTTCACTATATAATCTATAGAGCCCCGCCTTAACACCAGAACCCCTGACCCTGGGGCCATAAAATTCACAAATTTGGTAAAAGCACTCTTGCTCATCATAAATATGCACTTAGATTATTTAATACCTAGGAGCAGAGAAGAAGATTTTCAAAGAATTCATGTATTTTCACTATATAATCTATAGAGCACCACCCTAACACCAGAACCCCTGACCCTGGGGCCTTAAAATTCACAATTTTGGTAAAAGCAGCACTCTTGCTCATCATAAATATGCACTTAGTTTATATAATACCTAGGAGCAGAGAAGAAGATTTTCAAAGAATTCATGTATTTTCACTATATAATCAATAGAGCCCCACCCTAACACCAGAACCCCTGACCCTGGGGCCATAAAATTCAAAATTTTGGTAGAGCCACTCTTGCTTATTATAACTATATACTTAGTTAGTTTATTTAATATGCAGGAGCAGAGAAGAAGATTTTGAAAGAATTCATGTATTTTCACTAAATACTTATTTTAGCCCCACCCTAGCACTAGAATCCCAGAACCTAGGGCCATGAATTTCACAATTTTGGTAGAGGACTCAATGCTGATTACAATCATGCAAACAATTTGACTGCTTGATGTTCAGGAGTAAAGAAGAAGATTTTTTTATTGCATTAATTTTAGTGGTTTTGGTCCCACCCCTCATGCCCCAGGTGACCTAAAAATTAAAAAACCTCGATCATAATAATTGCTTTGTAGTGCTGAAATAAGCACACTTCTCATTATTTGTTTGTTTGTTGTTTTTTTTTTATTAAGCTAAGTGTGTAGATTTAAAAAAAAATTCTCAATACTTTCGATAACAGGATCCAACCTCCTCAACATTAGAGGAAAAAAAATTCATGCGTGTCTGACTTGTGTACTTGATAATTATTAAGTGTTTAAAATTATTAAGTGATTAAAGATAAAATACTCTTGTAAAAGTAATATCAAATATTCTTTTTATGCTAAATTAGAAAGCAATCCCCATCAAAAGTGTAAAATAAAGAACATTCTTTTTCTATTACTAATCAATGTTTGCACTGACACGAAGTACCTTTTGCTCCTGTACAGGGTCGTTTTTTCTTTGTAGAATTTTCCCCCACAATCTCCACTGATAGGCCACCGTTTTTTGTGGTTAATTTCTCAAGTGGAATTCTTCCTTCTATCTTTGCAGTTATCGCTTTCACTTTCAATTCCTTGAAAAGCCAAAGTCTTCGATTGTCAAGTGTGTACACTTTTCAACAATATTACAGACTCCAATTTGAGGTATTTTATATATTTCACTAGGATCTCTCTGACATTTTTGTAGAGATGTGAAAATACTAGTCCCGTCTTGAAAACATCTGTAAATTGTAACTTGGGAGTAGAAAATCTCATCAATAGATAGCCTTATTTCATTTGATCACAGGCACCAAAGGTATGGATAATACCCCCCCCCCCCCCCGACTTTTTTAATAAAAAAAAATGTGAGTGTATAATACCTCGAAAATATAAAATTTCCCCGTCAAACACATCTACATGTATATGTCGTTATATGCAAGCAGATTGTACTTTTTCTCACGTTTAAAGAATGGCCTTATTTGGTATAATAAAAATACACAAGGTAAGAAACAATTTAAAAGTTGTACTGCTTCGAGATAAATTAAAAGGTAATAATTAGTTTACCTACCATAATTTTGCAAGCACTTTGTCTGGGAGATGTTCTTTTACTAGTCTCTTAAACCTTAAACCCGCTATTAGTGTTTGATATGCCGTAATCGAACGAATTATTAATCGGATACATAAAATTTTCTCCATTGGCAGCGTTGGAGGAGGTTTTGGAGCTGCTTTTCTGTTTCGCCTTATCTGATTGGTTAGATATTTAATCTGTAATTATACAATTAACCAATCAGATGAGGCGAAACAGAAAAGCAGCTCCAAAACCTCCTCCAACTTATTACATTCTGTATTTCACTTACTAATTTATACCCAATACTTTTTCAAGTATTTACAGAATATTGGAGATAGATTCAGTGAGGATGTGGTAACATCACCTGCATACGTTGTTTATATATCTCAGTTGATTCGATACGCAAGAGCATGCTCTACGTATGTACAATTTCTAAAACGAGGTAAATTATTGACAAACAAGTTGATAAAACAAGAATATCAGCAGTCTCGTTTAATTAAAGTCATCATTTCGTAAGTTCTTTGGTCGATACAATGACACTGAATTGACGACGGATTTTTCCGTTATTTCCTGATCATGACAAGAAGCACACGGCGGGTGTGACCGGTCGGCAGGGGATGCTCACTCCTCCTTGGCACCTGATCCCACCTCTGATGTTTTAGAGGCCCGTGTTTGCTCTGCTCCTATTTTGTATTGTTTTACGGACCCTTTTTGTCGTGTCTGTCCGTCTCTCTGCCTGTCTGTCGGTTTGTCCGCAAAAAACATTAACCTTGCCGACAACTACTAGTATTGAATTAGTAGAGCTATGACTTTCATATTTCACATGTGTATTCCTTGTAACAAGACCTTTCTTTGGGTACCACTAAATTTGACCTTTTGACCTTGACCTTGGAGTTTGACCAACTTTTCCACAAAAATTCCAAACTTTTACTTTGGCTATAACTTTTGAACGGTAGATACTGGGACTTTCATATTTCACATATGTATTCTTTGTGGCAAGACCTTTAATTGAATACAAACAACTTTGACCTTTTTACCTTGACCTTGGAGATTTCTGTACATATGAAAAAAGTTTAACCTTGGCCACCAATGTAATTCTTGTGTGAAGACCTTTCCTTAGATACCATGAACAGTGACCCTTTGACTTTGGAGTTTGACCTACTTTTAAAAAAACAAACCTTGACTATAACTTTTAAAGGGCTAGGGCTAAGGCTTTCATTATACTTCACATATTTAATCCTTGTGACAAGACCTTTCATTGGATATCAATAACCCTGACCCTTTGACTTTGACCTTGTAGTTTGACCTTGGCCATACCTTTTAAACGGTTAGGGCTAGGGCTTTCATACTTCAAATATATAATACTTGTGGAAAGACCTTTCTGAAGAAAACAACAACTCTGACCCTTTGACCTTGACCCCGGAGTTTGACTTACCTTTCAAAAACTTATCCTTGTCCATAACTTTTTGAACAGGTGGTGCTAGGGTTTTCAAATTTCACAATAGTATTTCCAATCGTATTTCTTGTGAAAAGACCTTACTTTGAGTATTGATATATTTAATTTGCATTTAAGAAAAGTTTAATATTCGCTATGTTGCTATACGGGGGCATCAGTGTTTCACAAACACATCTTGTTTTATATTGTTCACGAACTTTTTGTGTTTCTTTCGCATGCATCTAATTCAGTCTGTAAATCAGAATTTGCTTTCAATAAATCAGCTCCCAACATTTCAATTTTGCTATCACTGATTTCATTAAGGTCTTCCGTTTCAGACCTTCTTATTTTTCTGTTGTTTCTTTTCAACTTTTCTTATTATTGTTTTGACCGATTTTGTACACGCGATTTCTCGTAAATTCGTCGATGGGTTTTCATGAAACTTTTAGCATTGATGACAAATTATATGATCTTCAAACGTTTTTTTTATTTGATGACGTCACTTCCGGTTCGGAGTTTTCGGCGATTTAGTGATTTTTAGAGGGTCATTTTGTCCGGCAGTTTTCTCAGAAAGCGCTTAACACAGAAGCATGAAATTTTCAGTGCTGATAGAGCAACCTTTGGAGATGTGTATTTGATATATCTCAACCACCGGAAGTACGAAGTGCCGACGCTCGCTATTGCCCGAAAATAGTCCTATCGCGAATTTTTAAATTTCTGACACCTTTTCTTCGATAATTTTTTACATAGAAATATTTTGTTAAAACATATAAAATAAAAGAAGTGAAGAATTATATGATCTTTCAAATGATATCTCAAAAAAAAGGGCTGGCCCCTATAATTAATGGCCTAGAGGGGCCGAAAGTTTTTCCCTAATATCTCAAAAAGTATTGAGAATTTGTAACATGTTAAAGAAGCAAAGTTGTTCAAAATGTCAAGCTCAATCTATTGGAGTCGTCAAAATACGTCCAGCGTCGTCACTTCCAGCCAAACCGGAAGTAGTCGAAAAAAGCGTATTTTTGCCGTTCTTTACAAGTTTTGGGGTAACATATGTCTGTGAGAGCATAAAAATAAATTTTCCGTCCGTCGTCTTTACTTCCGGTCAAACCGGAAGTAGCAAAAAGTGGCTTATTTTTTCATTAATTAACATAGCTTTAGAGGATTCAAACCATTTTGGGCGTTATTTCTCATTTTGTTAAAAATGAAAGCTAATTCCGGTCAAACAGGACGGAAGACCTACTCGTTGCTTTGCTCTAGTTTCTTTCTTCATTTGTTCCAGACTTTGGTAGACATCATGCAATTCCCTCTTTAGATCCGCCACCTCCGACTTACCTTTACCCTCTCTCCAGATTGTTCAGTTTTATGTCTTTTAAAAAATTCTTTGTTGGTTTCTTGAAGAACAGATCTACCCCTTTTCGGTTTTTTGAATATTTTTTCAAGCTCATCAATTTGCTTGAGTTTTTCGCGATTTTCTCTTTTATGCTGTATCTGCAGTTCTATTTCATCCTCTCGATCATCTAAAGATTCTTTCATCTCTTTAATTCTTCGGCTTGCCTCATCAGTCATCACGAACTTTGTCATTTTCCTCTTGAAATTAAAGTAAGACTAATATTTAAAACCATTTTGTTTTGCAGCTATGTTAATTGATAAATATGATAGGCCACAGCAAGTCTCTAATTTCTACTTCTCTAGTTTTTCAAATAGATTCTGCTTCTTAAAGGCCGGTATACACGATGAGATTTGTAGTATAATACAAATAATATAATACTTTTGTATCATAATACTTTCTTGTACACACGCTAATACAAATCTTATAAGATTGTAAATAAACTATGTATTCCAACGTGTTTTTCCCCGTCATATTTCTCTCTCTGTCAAAGTAGTAAAAATAAAGGATTCGAGGCTCTGATAGCAGTGTCTATCATAGTACTTTGCGCTGCTTGATATATTCCACACTTCCTTTTCCCCTTCCCATTAAGCCACGAGTTTTTCGAGGTCTTTTTTTGTAAAGTAGACCATTATTATTTACCATGTGCCTTTTTTTTTTAGTAATGATAAACATAGGATGACCCTTAGTGTCAATACATTTCATTGGTTGAAAGTGATAAGTAAGATAAGACTTGTATTAGGAAATAGAGCAATTCGTAATTCAGTTTTATAAGATTCGAAAAATCTGTATTACACTGTATTAATTAATTATACACTGTATTAATTATGAGTGTATACACAGTAAGATTTTGTATTATAATACACATCTTATAATACAAATCTTACCGTGTATACCGGCCTTAAGAATACCATTATAGGTCTGTTACAACAGGGGTGCATATGCCTTCAGATTGTTGTTGGAAGACTTGGCCACAAGGCCATAAACTCAGAATAGACTTACAAATGTCAAGTTTTTGATTTGTAATTTTACGTGTTTTTTAAAGATAAATTATACATGTATTTGCTTTGAAAAGCAACTTCATATAAATTTAATTTTCAAATTCCTGACATAGATATTATTTGATATTTACTATTCTGGTCCGAATGTTTGCTTTGTGCTTATTTTTTTTTTTCGTGGTCATTGGATTTGACCTTCAAAAACTACATAGATAGTATAATAGACATATACAAATCGAACTTTTTGAACTTTTATTTCCTATTGCGAACATTTTAAAAAATTATTTATAATAGTTTACATGAAAAGTTTATATTTATTTGCTTTAAACTGTAAAAATTAGATTTTTTTTTAATTTTCACGTATAATTCTTTTACTTGTTTTAAAAATTTTAGATGCATTGTTTAAAAAAAATTAATTAATTAAAAAAAATTTCACCAAAAAATATTTTCAAGAACGGTAATGCATAGAAAGATAACTCTTGTAATTGTGAGATAAAAAAATCACTGATCTTTCGGAAAAAGTAAGCAACGCTTCATAGTAAAACTATTTTCCATTTGAATCTAATGCTATTGTTGTTGAAAATTAATGCCGGGAATTAAGGCCATAATAAAAATATTCCTAGATTCTCATCCCCGCCCGCCCCGTTTTTAAACCCCCGCCTCGATTTTTTTTTAATTTCTGTTTTTCTTCGTCTTAATTCTGATCGGGATCAATATTCATCTACCATTCTACTTTCGTTTTAAATCCCGCGAATGTCAACATGATTTTGACAGCTGAAAAGATTGTAATTGCTGTAATACATGCATATATATTTTAAACAAGGGTCATTGGTTGAGAAAGATTGGTGATGATGTAAAGTAAGAGTTGATGGAACCTTTATTATGACTTTTATTCTGGTTTTATAGATAAAATTACACCGACTGAATAGGTCAATAAAAATTCTGCAAAATTGAAAAAAATAAAAAATATAAAATAAAAGCCGCCCGCCCGCCCCGATTTTTAAAAAAAGTCGGATGAGAATCTAGCAATTTAGTTATTATGACCTAAAAAAAAAAAATCTGGAGCAGAGGCACTAGGCGTCGGAACGGGGGGTGGGGGCTAAGCTTCCCCCCCCCCCCCCCCATTTTTTTCTTCAAAGCTAGACATAATATAAGCATTGGAAATTGGGGCTTACCTTTTTTCGTTGGTTTAGCCCCCCCCCCCCCCCCCCCACTTTTAATGTGCTTCCGACACCTATGAGTGGGATATTTCACCTGACCTTAAAGCTGAACACAACTCGTAAAATTTTTCATATTATTATCTGCGATAT